GGGGGGGGGGGGGGGGGGGGGGGGGGGGCGTGGATTATTTTGGAGTCTCTCAATAGGGATCCCCCAAAACCAGCAAAAAACAAAAACAATAATCAACCAAACCAGAACGCCAGCATCCAGTCATCTGATTGCTCGTGCAGCGGCGGGTCAACCGACAACAACACAGACAACAGCAGCAGCCAACAAACAACCAACCGACTGTTTTGATTCACCAGCATTCTCCTCACCCCCGAAAAAAAAAAACACGCCGTCTCTCTTCTGAACAATACAAACACGCCTCCTACGGTACTCTGTCCTAGTGTCCAACCACGTATGCGGGAAAGCACCGATTCACACAGGGTCCACAGCCCGATAAAAGGAGGCTATTCGACTACCGACAGGCGTGAACTTCGTACAACAAAGTCCAGCCTCAACACGAAGAAACAATAATACAGAATACCTATTATATAGGAGCGGAGTAGTGTCGTCGGCAAAAAACAAAAAACAAAAAAAAATACCCACCCACTGTCATGGCCGTCTTTCCAGTAGCGGGGCTCTGGACGGACCCCGGGTTGAACCCGTGGTCCTCGAAGCCGTTGTTGCCCGCACCGAACACGACGAGGGTATCCGGGTGGTCGTGCACCCACTCGTCCAGCTGAACGTCTCTCGCGGTGGGCTCCGTCATTGTCACCAGCGACCACGAGTTGCTGATCACCCTGCGTTCGTGTGTTGTTTTTTGGGGGGGGGGATTTTAGCAAGAGTCGTTGAATGCCAACCCGGAGGAACAACCTCTGGTTTGGTCACCAGCGACAGCCGCCGATCACCCTGCGTTCACGTTTCAAGATGTCTTTATTTGTAGCATACATAGTCTTCGCATGCCAACCCGGAGCAATCTCTGCCATCGTCACCAGCGACCACGAGTTGCTGATCACCCTGCGTTCGCGATATCATTTGGGAGTGGAGGGCACACGTTGGGGACACCTCTTGACCATCAACCAGGAGGACTACAGCAATACGTGGAAAACGCATGTCCGAGGAAGGAGGATCGAGACTGGGGAGGGGGCGCGGGACGACAGGGCAGAGAGCTGTGGGGGGAAACGAAGCAAGCAGCCAATGGACGCCATACATTCCTAGCTGTCGCACTACACGGGAAAACTTCCAAGATTGGCTCTGCCATGGATAACACATAAACATGTAGAGGAGGAGGAGGAGCAAGCCAGACTGGTGTGGGGCACGAGCAAATGCCGCTCGCTGCCGCCGGCCACGTACATACCAGCCAGAAATCTGTGCAGAACGTTGTCACACGTGCGGATGGAACGTGCTTGCCTGCGGCAGACAACACCAGGGGCGCACGTTGTCTACCACAACCACCGCTGACATACTCTCGTAAGAGCGACAACAGCAGAGTAGCCGTGTTGATGCCTTTTTGGAGCATCGTCCATGATGTCATCTTGTCACCTTGCTCCTGCAGCGTACTGGGCGTCCCACATGTCGCCGATGTCGTCCGGGATGACGAGGCCCCCGTCTTCGTTGCCGCTGCACAACCACAAGGGTAGCGGACAAGCCGCGGGCAGGGGGAAGTAGAGGACACAACGACAACGATCAGCATCAAAACGACTTCAAATCCGTGGCCGCGGAGCTGCGATGCACAAGCTCGCCAAGGCATTGGAGGCATAAGCGCCATCAAAAAGTCTTCCAATCCGTGGCTGCTTTGCCAAGACACGCAATTTTCGTCAAGGCATTGAAGGCGAACAAAAGGTTTTCCCGCCACAGCAGTAGCTACACGAGTGGCGCAAAGACTCAATGGTGTAAGGGTGTAAACACAGATGACTATTTAGCTGTTTGGCCGCTTGAAAGCGATATCGAATCACACACACATACGCACACAATCACATACAGCTGAAGCGCCGATTGGATGCATCACATAGATCGACCAAAGCCGCTCGTGTAACACACACACTCATGGACATAAAATAGGTTATTCGTAGCGTCCATTACCGCTGCAACCGAAGACTCCTCGTTTGCCCGTGAATCAACGCTGACCAACAAAGAAGGCGCACGCACACGCTCCCCCCCCCCCCCCCCCCCAAACCTTGGGGGGACCGCCCCACCCTCCTCAAATGTCGAAAAAAGCCAACTGAGCGTCGGAAGCAACTCCCGAAGCCTCCGGGAGCTCGTCCACTGGGTCTTCCAAACACGGGAAGTCGTACTGGGGGTAATCCTTCTTCCTCTCCCCGGGGGGGCAGTACCGGGAAAAAAAAAAACACAAAAAAATAAAATCGGGGGTTTCGAAAAAAAAAAAAAAAAATC